GGTTCGCAGCCCGATTTGTAACCACTACGCTACCAGAACTGTGGGTTAATTCACCAGAATGCAAAGCCATTCGAACTGCAAGGTAGTGGTTCAAGCTCACTAGCTGCTCCTCAGAAACCCTATACAGCGTCACTATGGGTTGGAACTGACTCAGCAGGACTTAACAACAACAACACAAAGTCCTAGAAGAGTAATTTTTTGCATATTTTTCTAAAAATTTCCTCTCTCTTGATAATTTTTATGTTTTCTCTATACCCATGATGTTCTGAAGTTTCAGCTAAGACATGTCTTGATATATATGAAAGGGTTTCAAAAGGTTCACAGAAAATAGGAATCAAAAGATAATGGAATTTCCCCACAAACTTTTTAAAGCCCTCTCATGTGTATGCATGTGTGTGAAACTACCAGCCATTTGAAGGGAGAAAGACGAGGTTTTCTGCTCCCGTAAAGTTACAGCCTCAGAAATCATATACAGGGTTGCTGTAAGTCGGAACCAACTCCATGGCACATCACCACCACCACCATACAAACACACATATATGGACTCCTGGTGTGGCACTGTAAGATCAGCACTGGATTGCGAATCACAAGGTTGAAGTTCAAACCCACTAGCTGCTCCTTGGAATCCCTATGCAGGGTGTCACTATGAGTCAGAATGAACTGGATGGCACTTAACAGCAACGGCAACACACACACACATATAGAAAATTTGCTTTGCATAATTCAATGATTTCTCAATCTGAGATCATGGATGTTTATTAAGTTCTGGGAATTATTTAAACTATGTTGCTGTCAACAACAATGATGTTGCTGTTAAGTGCTGTCCAATATGTTCTGACTCAGCAACCCTATATAGGCTTTCCAAGGTGCAGCTAGTGGGTTTGAACTGCTGACCATGTGGTTCAAAGTCCAGTGCTGATCCTACAGCACCACATCAGAGTCTACATTAAATGCATATTTGTTGTTAAGTGCCATTGAGTCGGTTCTGACTCACAGCAACCCCACGTAGGGTTTTCAAGGCTGTAAATCTTTGTATGAGAGGAAAGCCTCATCTTTCTCCCGCAGAGTGGCTGGTGGGTCCAGACTGGCAACCTTGTGGCTCACAGTCCAATGCTTGTACTATGCAGCCACCATGCTCCAAAATAGTATGTTGTGGTTAAGTGCCTTCAGTCAGTTCCGACCCATAGTGACTCTGTAAAAGGTTTCCAAGGAGCAGCTGGTGAACTGAACCACAGACCTAGCAGTTCAAACCAACCTTGCAGTCCAGTGCATTAATCCTACAACACTACACTAGGACTATAAAACTATATAAAATAATAGTAGCTATTTTATAACTATTATAATTCTGGTGTGGCGTTGTGGGTTAATGCACTGGACTACAAGGTGAGGTGCTGTGGGTTAATGCGCCAGACTGCAAAGCCGTCTGAACTACAAAGTCAGTGGTTCAAGCTCAGCAGTCACTACTTGGAAACCCTATACAGGTTCACTATGGGTCGGAACCAACTTGATGGCACTTAATAACATCTTTTTTCCCTTTAAAAATTGTTCTTTTACCATTTTCTTTTTTTTTCCTTCTGGAACTCCTTTTAAGTGGATACTGGCAACCCTTCAGCATCTATATTCCAAGCCTCTTAATTTCTTTTATATTGCCTATCTCTTTAACTCTTTGTGCTATATTCAGGAAATTCACAGCCTTACTAATTCCCTTTCAAACATGTGTCATCTGCCACTCAGCTCATTTTAATTTTTATTTCAAATACACACAGATACAATTCCAAGTCTTTCTGGGTTCTTTTTCATTACTACCTTTTCCCATTTCAGTAATTTAATAACCTCTCTTACTTCCTTGAGGATATGTCCTGTTCTACCCTATTATTTTGGTTTCCCTCAAGTACAAGTCCTTCAGTTTATTGATTTTTGAGGTCTTCAAATGTTAGGCTATTCTTAATGGATCTTTTGATGAGCAGACAGATTTAAAAATGTGATAAAGTCAAATTTATCAAAACAAATTTTTACGGTTATTGCTTTCTGTATCCTAAGAAACCTTTGTCTAATTTAGGTTGCAATGATGCTCTCAGGTTTTTCGTTTGAGCAGCTTTACAGTTTTAGCTTTCATATTTAAATCTATGACTCATTTTGAATTATTCTGTGTGTAAGATGTTAGTTTCCATGTGAATTCTCATTTGTTCTAGCACCAGTTGTCTAAGATTTGCTTTCCCCCATTGAATTTCCTTGACAACTGACAACCTTGCTGGAAAATTTTTTTTAGTTAACAAATAAAAAAGCATTTGAATGCAGGCCTATTTCTAGACTATTTGATTCTATTGATCTGTTTGTTTGTCCCATGTCAGTACCATACAATCTTGACCATTGTAGCTTTGTAAGACTAGAAGTCAAATATTTTAAATCTTCCAACTTGTTTTATTGTTTTTCAAGTTTGCTTTGGATATTCTAGGTCCTATACGTTTCCATATACATTTAAAATCACAATTTTCCCAGCTGGGATTTTCACTGGAATTGTAGTAAATCTTGACATCATTTTGGGAAGAACTGACATCTTTCCAATACTGACTCTTCTAATCCATCCCTCCTTTAAATAAATATCTCATATTTAGGTCTTCTGATGCTGTAGGATAAGCACTGGACCACTAACCTCAAGTCAGTGGTTCAAAGCCACTAGCTGCTCCTTAGAATCCCTATACAGGGTTGCTATGAGGTGGAATCGACTCAATGGCACTTAACAACAACAACCAATTTCTATCAGCGGTATTTTGTAGTTTTCCGTGGAAAGCTCTTACACATACTTTGTTAAATATATTCCTAAATGCACTGGTAATTCCTGTTACACTTTATTCCCATGGAACAGCTGGGGGGTTTGGATCAGCGATCTCTGGATTTTCAAATCACTTTAATCACTGCGCCTTTCAGTTTAAGGTATACCAGGACTCACTGCTCCAATCACTATTTTCACTAAGAGAAGATACCACTAGGGTCAAAGGGTACAGTATACAGATATGAAGTGCCCTGATGGCTCTGTGAGCTGCCAACAACCCCCAGCTCCACAGTGTGTCTGATGCCTTAAGCATTAGTGCGCTTCCAGAGGTGGTCTTCTCTTCAACCCAGCAAACCTGTCTTTCAATCTCACTGGGATTCCTCGCAATTTCTAGTCTCCCAAGAACGCCACGTTCTTGTTTCTAATGAAACTACATAGTCGCTTAATGATCTTAAAAAAAACAAACAACGTTTCTATCATTCTAAGGTTTTGTGCATGGGGAACAGACATGCCGCAAACAAATGCACGGTATGCCATATATAAGCCAAAAATTGCCTTTTATTTTTATGTAAGCATATTTATAGGTCTGAATGAAATAATTATTTTGATAGTGCTTTGATATTTATTTTCTTCTTAAACAGGCAAGACTTAAACAGGTAAAAGAGATGGAAAGAACATTCAGGTATTATTAAATTGTGTTATTATTTGTTGCTAAATGCCATGGAGTCAGTTCTGACTCACAAGAGACCCTGTATAGGATTTCCAAGGAGTGGCTGGTGAGTTTGAACCACCAAGTTTGTGGTTAGCAGTCCAGTGCTGATCCTACAGTGCCACAGTACAACCCAAATACCAGGGGCAAGTATACGTCTGCTGTCCTTATCAATCAATTTGACAAAGCAGGTTCATGTGAGGCTGTCAGGAGAAAGTCTGCTGTGCTTTGGAGAACAGGAAGCACAACATGGGACAGGGTTGGAAAGGACACAAGGGTAAGAAGACAAAATCCTATACCAGAGCTAGACTATTAGCAAAAACAAAACAGAAAACCTCATTTCTGAAAAAGAAACATCCTAACTCACCTCTATAATTTGCTCAGTAAAAGTAATTTGGTTGATTATTCATTAAGGCCAATTACAATTATGAACTTCAAATGCAATGTTTTCCAACCAGGAAACCTTTAGGAAAGAATGTGTACTCACCCAGTCCAGAGATGTTTATTGCCTTCACAGATTTCTTCATTTTGTTAAGAACCATCCGGTCCACATCCAAAGCCTAAAATAAAGAGAATATACGAATCAAAACATATGTTAGCAGTTAGATCAGGACTACATACAGTGACCACTCTGGAGGCTCAATTCTATTAGGCACCTGGGGGGGTGCCGCGGGGGGTGGCGTTCTTCTGTGGGACAAAGTCTTTAGTGTGGAAGATTGGTTTTCAAACTGCACAAGTGAGCTAAGTTAAGTTTTCTTGGTAACCACTAAACACCAACTCCTCACTTTGTTTCATTCACTGAAGCACACAAACTGCCTCCTGCCAACAGTACCTAAAGATTACCCTTCTGCTGTGAGACGAGTTGAACATGGACAAACTCTACTTCTAAAACATCTCGACTTTCCCTCTATATCAGAACGATTCCATGATATGCCTGCCTGCAGGAACTGCCCATTGTGCCCTCCCCAATTACAGAATGGGAGGACTATACATAGAAGAAGTGATTAAGGTGATGTGGTGAGACACAGGGAAACCAACCTAAACCCAACGCCACTGAGTCAATTGAAACTCATAACAACCTTATGTAGGGTTTCCAAGAATGCAGATATTTACAGGAACACACAGCCTCATCTTTCTCCCACAGAGTAGTTGGTGGGTTTAAACTGCTGAACTTGGCTAGCAGCCCAATGCCTAACCCACAGTGCCAGCTACTACTATAGTATTAGTATTATAATTATTATGTTTGGAGTCCTGGTGTGGCACTGTAGAATAAGCACTGGATTGCTAACCACAAAGTACACAGTTCAAACCCATCAGTCACCCCTTGGAAACCTTAATACAAGGTAGTTATCAGTCGGAACCTATTTGACAGCACTTAACAACAATCAAATGTTATTGTAATTAAATTTCCCTTAAGCTCATTTGCCAAATCAAGACATTGGTAGGATATAAGATAATGAATGTAAAAGTATAATGTATACCATCATATACTATGCTTTAGCTAAGTGCTGCCATTAACATTACTGTAGTGTAGTTCGAAACTACCAGCTACTCCATGGGAGAAAGATGAGGCGTTCTGCTCGTGTAAAGATTTACAGCCTCGGAAACCCTGTGCAGGGTCACTACGAGTCAGAACCGACTCCATGGCACATAACCACCACCACCAGTGTGTATCTACTTAAGAGTGGGTACAGGCATATGACAACAGTTGAACCAAGACAGGAGAAAACCATGAGATCCCATACAGGTAATGCTATCGAATGTTCACAAATGATAAAGAGGTGACATTTTCTTTCAACTCAATTAAACAACACAGTATAGAAGCACAATGGGTGTAAGGCAACTTCTAGTCATCGTTGATTGGGGAGGATGGGGTGTCACACTTGGATGGCTATACCAATCACGAGACTATGAAAAACTGCAAAGGCAGCACCTACCCCAGTATCTGGTATACAGGAGGCACTCAATAACAGTTGTTAAGTATCATCTAGTCAGTTCCAACTCATAGTAACCACATATAGAGTTTCCAAGGAGCGGCTGGTGTGTTTGAACTGCCAACCTTGCAGTTAGCAGTTCAGTGTTTATCCTACTGCATCACAGCAATAGCTATTATTTATTATTCATTTTGAGAGTTCTTTTTAGCTTTTTATTGTGAATTGAGTAAAGATTTACAGACAAGATCATCAGTTTTACACTCAACAACAACTTGGTTTCATGTCAATGATAATAAACCCCTCCATGCAAAAACAGTTCATCCTGCTTCCTCCCTGTGGTTCCTATTTCCATTCTACCCACCTTCCCATCCCTTCTCAAACTTTGTCCTTAGGTAAATGTTGACTTTTTGATCTTGAATGCTTGACCATTCCATGGTGAGCATACTTTACTAGTGCTGTGGTCACCACTATGTATCTATTTTCTACTGCTTCGCTGAAAATTGGCTGAAGGGTGGGTGGTGGAGGGTTGTCATAGTCTCAGGTTCCTAGTCTCTTTTGCCTGGTCTTTTAAAAAAATATATAATTCTGAGCTTTGTTCCACATTTTCTCCCACTTATGCAGGAGCTTCTAATGTGATCCCTTTCAGAGCAGTTGATAATGGCAGCCAGGTACCATCTAGTTCTTTTGGGTTCAGAGTTGTGGTGACTGATGTACACCTGCTCCACTGCTTCACTGGACTAGTTGATTCCAATCATCTTCAATTTTCATCACTCTTCTTTCTTCCAAACATGGAGAGACAAATAGTTGGCACCAGAGATGGCTGCTCATGAGCTTTAAGATTCCAGACACTACTCACCAAAAGTAGGATGTATAACATTGTTTTTATGGATTGTTTAACCAATTGACTATGGTGTCCCCTGACACTACAGTCCTGAGCCCCCAGGCCAAGGCATTTTGAGTTTTGATTTAAAAAACAGCAATTGCAATGGCCTATCATCTGAAAGGAGTCCTGGCGTAACGCTGTAGGATAAGCACTTGACCGCAAGGTCGGCATTTCAAACTCACTGGTCGCTCCTTGGAAACCCTACACAGGGTTGCTATGAGTTGGAACTGACTCAAAGGCACTTAACAACAACAACTATCTAAAAGGTGTCCTGGTGTGGCGCTGCAGAATAATGCACTGGATCGCAAGGCCGGTATAAATCACAAGGTCAGTAGTTCACATCCACCAGTTTCCTTGGAAACCCTATACAGGGTTGCTAAATTGGAACTGACTGTCCAGCATTTAACAACAACAACAACCATCTAAAAGAGCACAACCACACAAAGATAAAGACTATGAATTTTCAGCCTTCCTACATCAGCTCGTGAACCCATATTTAATAGCAGCATCAAAATTTTTCATTGGATGTTAAAAATGAAATAGGAATAATGTCACAAGGCAGCAGGTATTTAATAGATTGATTATAATTCAAACAAAAGTTATAATAAAAGGCTTTATTTTCTAGCAGGCTAAAGAAAAGGATAGGTAAAAATTAATACTAAGTAAGTAAAAAATTCTTGTAGCGAATTAATTCTGATTTCTGTGCTGGTGATGGCTAATCCATTCTTGACCTTCTCTTGAGATATGAAAGTGAATTCCAGGGGGCCTGTGCTCTGTGCCAGTGATCAGACTATAGATTTGTTCAGGGTCATGTCAGAAACACCACAGTTTCTGAAACTATCGACCGAGTGTCAGAAAGCACAGCTCTCACATACGATACAGCTCAGTACACTCATCAAAGCTCAGCTGAAATTCCCAGTCCTTGGGTGCAGAGCTATTATTGAAAAATATCTGATCTAATGAACATCCTGAGGCTAGCAGTTTGAGAGAATTTGGGAACTAGTTAGAACAGTGAGTGTCTAGTTTGCATTCAAATAATAAAACACAATCCTTTTTACTAAACTTTCCCACAGACAACAGAAGACAGGAACACAATCTAGTTAGGCTCTATATAAACATTAAAGTGTAGTCAATATTTTTTATTAAAAATGCCCTATGAGCTAGGGAGAAACAACCACTTGTTAGTAACAAATACTTAAGAAAAGAGACAGGTTCCCTGCTGTGCTCATGATAATGTCTATAGCATAGCTTTAAAAGTCTTTTTATTATGTGACCTGATCCCTACACGTTTCTCTAGCCTTATCTCTGGGCATTCACACCCACCTTCACTGAACCCCAAGTTTCTGTCATAATGAACTACTTATTACATGGTCAACTTTTACTTCTAAGAGGTTTCATACTCAGTTCCCCTCATTAGAGTATATTCCCTACTTCTTGACTCATTAACTTCTATTCTAACTTTGCAAGCTAGTTTAGAGACAACCATTCCTCAGGGAAGCCCTTTCACATCTTTCCCCACCTCTCCTCCAGAATGGGATAGCTACTCTTCCTAGGTTTTCCCATAGCACGCTGCACTGATTTAGTATTTCCACCTGGTATCTACTATGTGCCCAGTACTAACCTAGGTTTTAGAGATACAATGGTGAGCAAAACAGGATAATGTCCATGCATTATCATGGAATTTATAATCTAGCAAAAAATAATTCCCTAAGTAAAAACAAATTATTGTGTCATTTCCTTATCTAGCTCTGCATTTAGACCTTCTACTGAGCACTTGAAATGTGGCAAGTGCTATTGTTGAAATTATAATATGCTAGATATCTTGGGTTAAAGAAAAATACCAGTAAAATTTATTACATGTTTCTTTTGACATTCTTAATACTCTTAGGGCAGGCACTGATGTTGGTTCATCATTGTAACCCCAGTGCCTGGCATATTGAGGCATAAAAACAAAACTCAATAAAAACAAATTGAGAAAATGACAAAAAGACTGAAAACCAGACAGGGGCTATCACTAGGTAACAATATCCCAGGTGATCCCAGAGGTAAAGCTACTGAAGATTTTTTTTAAGCGAGGGAGAGGTGACAGCTGTACTTACAGGTTATTTAGGCCACAGCTAGAATAAAGTACCAGGCAAGAACTGGGTTCAAGGAAAGGAAAGATGAACCAGTTGGGAGTCATGGTTCAGAAGCCATTCGGTAGTAACTGGATGCTAGGAAGCAGGATCATTCTGGAAGACAGTCAGCAAGAGGCTGCTTCTGCCTCTTTTAAATGGAATTTAGCTCTTCTGCTTCTGACACTCCCATAAATGAATGACAGAGCAATCCAATCTTCTGTTTATAGGGGTTTGGGGAACAGAAGTAGGAAGTGTTGTGGAAGATTGATCACAGATGAAATATACTTTATAACACAGCTGAACTCTGACAAATCCCTCCTATATTAGACTTTTGGACACATCCCTCCCTGATTATTTACTGTATAAAAGGCTTGTAAAAATGTGCCACTATGTGAAATCATCTAGCTTTATTATTAAGGTGAGAAGGGGAAGTATTGTTTTCGGAACTCAGGAACAAGTAGGGAAACAATATCTGTTGTTCTTCTAGTCTGTTACGTAGAGACTGGAAATAAAGGTGAGATAGGCAGCCAGAGGTAAATTTAATTAAAACTGCAAGAGGAAAAAGTAATTGGCTTCCTACTCAAAAACACACCCTTCATTATGGTGCATATTTATAGATAATTAAG